TTCGTCAGATGAAACACGTCATCTTCATACCGCAGATACACAGCAACCTCACACCTCAGATACACAGCATCTGCACACGCTAGCTGATATACAGCATCTTCACACCGCTGATTCTCATCATCTTCACATCTCAGATACACAGTATCTTTACTCCTCGTATACACAGCACCTTCACACCTGTCATTTGACACTGTTCCCCATGAACGACCGTTGTGCAAGATACAGAAGCAGGCTGGGATAACTTTTAAAGCATTGATCAGGGTAAGGGGGGTACCCGAGGGCCAGAAACCAAAGAGTCACACTCAGAGAGGTGGTTTGAAGGTGGAGGAATGTAACAAGTGGGGTCCCAGCAAGGCTCTCTTCTGGGACCACTGTTGTTCCTAATTTACGTGAACGACCTGCCCGAGGGAGTGAGCTCAGACATGTCAATGTTTGCAGATGATGCAAAACTGATAAGGAACGTGAAAGCAGATGAGGACTGAGAAAGTTATTGACAAACTCCAGGAGTGGTCAAGTAAATGGTTGCTGGTATTCAATTCCAACACGTGTAAGGTAATGAAGATGAGAGAGAGGAAACCAAAAAGTATCTACATCATACGGGGAAGGCAGCTACAAGAATCCGAAAGAGAGAAGGATTTGGGAGTAGATATAATTCCGACACTCACACAGGAGGAACACAAACAGAATAACATGAGCAGCAAATGGGACGCTGGCACATATAGGAACATGTGATTAGTTTAGAAACCTGAATCAGAACTCCTCCAAAGCAATGTACACAACATTTTTAAACCAGTAATACAATACGCATCGCCGGGATGGAATCCTCACCTCGTGAAGCGTAAAGCTAAAATTAAAAAAGTACAAAGGTTTGCAACAAGATTAGTGGCAGCGCTAAGAGGGTTAAACTACGAAAATGGCTAATGGATCTAAGATTCACAACCCACCAGGATAGAAGGAACAGACAAGATATGATCACAACTTACAAGTTACTGAGGGGAGTAGATAAGGTGGACAAGGATAGCCGCCTCAGATTGAGAGAAAGCAAGACAAGAGGACACAGGTGGAAGCTGAAAACGCAAATGAGCCGAAGGGACGCAAAGAAGTACTCGTACCTTGTAAGGGAAGTTAACAAGTGAAATAACTGCTCTAAAACAAAAAGTTGTGGAAGCCACCTCCATCCACAATTTTTAAGCTCGATTCGACAAAGAATTTGAAAGTGAAGAGTAGTTAAGTTGAAACCGAACAGGTGATAGACTAGTAGGCGGGTCATAAAGAGTTAGACCTCACTTCCCCAAAGGCACTGACAGGTATGTACCTCTGATACACATCATCTTGAGACCTCAGATAGACAGCATCTTCACAATGCTGAAACACAACATCTTCCCCCTCAGATAAACAGCACCTTCACACCTCAGATACACGTACATCATCTTCACACTGTAGATACACAGCATCCTCTCACTTCAGATTCACAGCATCATCACACCTTTCATTCACAATATACAACACTTTGGAATTCTCTTGAGGTCATTTACTGCCGGGGATATAAATCCATCTACTTATTTATATTTATTATTTTGTCTTGAAGGGCGAGTTATTGGGCAGCGTCACTTATCCTGTGGACATACCAACATGTACAACACCCACTATAGGAAGAAAACCTGCTGGGTTGTTGATCCTGTCACTTGTACCCAGACACAGCTGGGCTCTTCATCCTGTGAATGATCTCTAACCCTGTCCATAGAGCCACCGAAGAAAATGTATATATGCTGGTTGTAAATGTGTGGCCACGTCTGTGGTAAGAATATTAATAAAAAAAGGTACCTAAGCTCTGCTGGAACTTACCTGAATTTGATGGCCCACTATACATTAAAGTGGCAAGTGCCATTCTGTCATCCAATTGCTAAAACCATAACCAAGCCCTGCTGTTTATCATGTGAAATTACGAAAGAAACAAGCGCATTAAGTAAACAGCTCCGAGCAGCGGGGTCTTGGAGTCCGAGAACCAGGCATAAGAACGCTATCTGACACACGGGTTCCCTATCTGGCGTTCCTAGCAACATGAAGGAAAACAATATTTTTTTTAGCATTTTCTTTATACTCTTTATACATTGTTCTTATGTCGACACTAACGGGTATATTTGTGTCTATTTGCATAAAAAGAATGGTCATAATGGCAAATGCAGGATGGATAGCTTATTGAAAAGTAAGTCATCCACTGCCGCTTCATCAAGGGCAAGTGAAGATTGTACTTAGATCAAAAATTAGGAAAAATCCAAACTAAGGAAGCATTATCCCTCCAGTATTGCATACGGATTTATGTCTGTGGCGAGGAAGGTAGAGTGGAGAGCCCCAAGTGCGCCCTCTCAAGGCATGTTCTCCACGGAATGTTTCACACCATCAACCCCACAACGACAAGCACAGCGTAAAACATACCACTGATCCCTGAAAATCTCTTGATTTCCTCCAACTACGAGAATTTCTGCTTAGAATTTACATT